TGGTTGTGGATGAGGACACAGGGGCCCCATGATCCTCTATTACCCGGGGGTCCCATGTGTTGTCAGTCCGCCCCTGCCCCAATACCAACCAAGCCGCTCTCTGTGTGTCCATTGACATTGGTCCATTGGTATGTGAGTGTGCCTAGGCTCTCCTATTCCTATAGCCTCATAGCTGTATATCTGCAGTGTGAGATCTAAGGCACTGCTGCCTCTGACAACTAGTCTCAGAAGATTTAGTGATGCTACTTCTGTGCTGCTCACTGTTCTCCTTGCTGGTGGCTTTGACACGAAGAAGCAAATCCCTACCTCTACCAAGATAACTGCTAAACTAGTCTCAGGAGATTTAGTGATGCTACTTTTGTGCTGCTTCACTGTTCTCCTTGCTGGAGTCTCTGACACGAGGAAGCAAATCCCTGCCTCTACCAAGATAACTGCTAAACTAGTCTCAGGAGATTTAGTGATGCTACTTTCTGTGCTGCTTACTGTTCTCCTTGCTGGAGGCTCTGACATGAGGAAGCAAATCCCTGCCTCTACCAAGATAACTGCTAAACTAGTCTCAGGAGATTTAGTGATGCTACTTCTGTGCTGCTTACTGTTCTCCTTGCTGGAGGCTCTGACATGAGGAAGCAAATCCCTGCCTCTACCAAGATAACTGCTAAACTAGTCTCAGGAGATTTAGTGATGCTACTTCTGTGCTGCTCACTGTTCTCCTTGCTGGAGGCTCTGACACGAGGGAGCAAATCCCTGCCTCTACCAAGATAACTGCTAAACTAGTTCAGGAGATTTAGTGATTCTACTTCTGTGCTGCTCACTGTTCTCCTTTGCTGGAGGCTCTGACATGAGGGAGCAAATCCCTGCCTCTACCAAGATAACTGCTAAACTAGTTTCAGGAGATTTAGTGATGCTACTTCTGTGCTGCTCACTGTTCTCCTTGCTGGAGGCTCTGACATGAGGAAGCAAATCCCTGCCTCTACCAAGATAACTGCTAAACTAGTCTCAGGAGATTTAGTGATTCTACTTCTGTGCTGCTCACTGTTCTCCTTGCTGGAGGCTCTGACATGAGGGAGCAAATCCCTGCCTCTACCAAGATAATAAACTGCTAAACTAGTTTCAGGAGATTTAGTGATGCTACTTCTGTGCTGCTCACTGTTCTCTTTGCTGGAGGCTCTGACATGAGGAAGCAAATTCCTGCCTCTACCAAGATAACTGCTAAACTAGTCTCAGGAGATTTAGTGATGCTACTTCTGTGCTGCTCACTGTTCTCCTTGCTGGAGGCTCTGACATGAGGGAGCAAATCCCTGCCTCTGCAAGATAACTGCTAAGCTAGTCTCAGGAGATTTAGTGATTCTACTTCCTGCTCACTGTTCTCCTTGCTGGAGGCTCTGATAGGGAGCAAATCCCTGCCTCTACCAAGATAACTGCTAAACTAGTCTCAGGAGATTTAGTGATGCTACTTCTGTGCTGCTCACTGTTCTCCTTGCTGGAGGCTGCTGACATGAGGAAGCAAATCCCTGCCTCTATCAAGATGCCTGCTAAACTGAACAGCCAATTAAAGCGCCGCTCATTGATGGAAAATGCCACTTCTAACCCTGTTCTTCCCCCCGCCCTGCCTCTACCAAGATGATCGCCTCCCACATAAAGCTGCACTGCGGAACAAGGCATGGTAAGTCAGTAATGGGGAGAAGGTTAGATGCAAGGAGACCACAGGAAATACTTGTGACTAGTCCTTTACCCTCTGCTAGCTTGCAGAGCTCAGTTCCTCTTTACAGTAGTTTTACACCCAAAACCAAAAATGTAATATATTGTCGCTTACCAGTCATTAGATGCGATGACTGCATTAGGTTTTTTTTCCCCTCTGTTTTCACCTGGTGATCTAGCCAGTAACACACATCATGTATTACCCACTTCAGGTCCGGACACTTTCACCCCCTTCCAGTCCGGACACTTCCCCCCCCCCCCCCTTCCTGTCCAGGCCAATTTTCAGCTTTCAGCGCTATAATACTTTGAATGACAATTGCGCGGTCATGCAACACTGTACTCATATGAATTTTTTTTTTTTTAGACAGATAAAACTTTATTTTGGTGGTATTTACTCACCACTGGGATTTTTATTTTTTTGCTATATAAATGAAAATGTCCAAACATTTTGAAAAAAAAAAGTTTTTTCTTATAAAATTTTGCAAATAAATAATCTTTCTTCATAAATCTTGGCCAAAATGTATTCAGCTATATTTTTAGTAAAAAAAAAAAATAACCCAAATTAGTTTATAACCAAAAATTATATTTTTTTTTAAAAAAAAAATTTGGACATTTTTATTTTATTTTTTTATAATATTATTTTAGTTTTTTTTAACATACCGTCACCCTAGCAGTACAGGGTCACCATGGTGACACTGTACTACTTGTGGGGGGTGATGAAGATTTTTTTTTTGTTACACTGATTGCTTTTACACCCATAAAGGCTGTAACGGCAATCATTTCTCCTCTCTGGCTGCATTCTTGCAGCCATTGAAAAATACTGTGTGAGCTGTGATTGGTCACAGCTTGTCACATGGTATAAGGCTGTTGTGAATAGCCCTGTACCATGTGATCTCTGTGATCATTCACAGATTTCACAAGTAGTAAGCAATGATGTCAGAAGTGACATCTTGCTTACTACTATTCATGTGATCACTGATTGGCCAATCAGTGATCACCAGGGGTGGACTGACCATTCGACCACTAGGGCACTGCCCGAGGACCTGGGGTCAGTAGGGGGCCCCATAAAATGCCCCTGGTACCTTCTATAGGCTTTTTTTGGGTGTGTTTTGAGTGTGGGCAAGGACACAGGGGCCCCATGATTCACAAGAGGATGTTTATAAACGGCCACCCGCTCCTGCAATGCTCCCGTCTGGCCATTTATATACATGGGCTGTACGGGAAGTGGTTAATGAGACACAACTCTGGATAAATGAGCACAGGAGTCACAGCAGATAGCAGCCTTGTCAGTCGGGGAAGAGGGGGGGATTGTTATATATGCTAGCAGATTTAAATACACTAACAAATTGAAGCCAAACTCCACTTCACACTTTATATTCATTTTAAATCCCTATGAAAACTCCATTAGATGGTCAAAATCACAAAAATATTGTGTGGTCACATTGGGCCTTTACTGCAACCTTTTACCAATGGCAGCCCGGAGGAGGGTCAAAATACCTAATGAAATACAGTAGCTACAAAAAAATTCAAAAATTTTTTTTTTAGGAATAGGTTGCAATAATAATTCAACAGGTGTACAGAATGAACATTTGCTATTAGTTTCCCTTTTAAAATATAAGCCGTCACTCTATATTTAATTTTGGATGGAGTAGAAATAGTAATGACCTCGGGAGGAAGCTGCCATTCCTGGGCCAATCAGCTGTGGTCAAAACATGGCCCGCCCAGCAACTGCTCATACACAAAGGTGCGGGGATACTCATACAATTATTGATCTAATATGGCCCTATTAGGTCAATGAGGGGAATCCCCCATCCACAGCTCATTGGCCCGGCACTGACAGCTGCCTTCCGGGTTCTGCTGAATCTGAGTTTGGACCAAACCCAGAGCCAAAACTGATCTCATCCCTTGCAGGGAAATATTACAATCTTTTTTTTTTTTTTTAAACCATACAAACAGCGCAAAAAAAAAAAAAAAATAGAATATATAATGTGTTACACTCCAAAATATTATAATGAAATAACATTTATAAAAATAATAAAAAAGTCCCACTCCAAAAATTGAAAAAATTATTAAAAAATCTCAGAAAGTCCTCTTTCCAAAGAAATGAAACGTGCTTCCACCAAAGATAATCAAACAATATATACCGCACACACCAGATACTGGAGAAAAAAACTCCTTTAGGGTTTTTATGGGATCCTAGACCCAGTTAATAGCCTCCAGATCTCCACTCCACCAAAGAACAGCCAACCTCCAAGCTCCAGGATCACCAGACTCCACTCTCCAAGAACACTCAGTGCAATGTAGGGAAAAACAATATAATGTAGCGTAATACTGCAACACTTGGTTATACTCAATGCTCAAGTACCAGGCCACTCACATTCTTAATGATCAAAATCAGCATTTTAATTGCATTTCAATGAATCCAAAAACGCCACAACACCAGGGTAGTTTCCAGAGATCCCACAGTCAGCAGCAGATGACAGTGTAGAGAATATCCCATACACAAGATGCCCCCTGGGAACACCGCACGCCTGCGTGCGTTCCACTCACCGGAAGTCATATATTACGTATGGCGGCGGAACTGGAAATGCATCAACGCGTTTTGCCCCTCCACCAGGGCGTTTTCACGCAGGCCTTTTTTTCAGCAGTATCTGGTGAGTGCGGTATATATTGTTTGAACACTATCTTTGGTGGAAGCACGTTTCATTTCTTTGGACTTTAGGACTTTCTGAGATTTTTTAATAATTTTTCACTCATTTTTGGAGTGGGACTTTTTAAAATTCTTTTTATTATTTTTATATGTTATTTCATTATAATATTGTGGGGTGTAACACATTATATATTCTATATATATTTTTATATATTTTTTTTGCGCTGTTTGTATGGTTTAAATATTTTTTTGGTGTAGTTTTGCACTGATGAGCAGTAGCATTTATTTGTTTATATAATTTATTTATTATTTGTCTAATTTTGGCGCTGGTGATTTATGTTTAAATATTACAATCTGTTGGGTTTTTATCGTGTCTTTGTTCCCATTACAAAGATTCATCTATTTGTCCTGACTGTTGTCACTGGGACTGAAGGTCGCAGGAAATCCAACATTTGACAGTTGTCAAAGAATCAGGAAACAGGGACACTTGCTCTGGTGACACTATGGAGACATTTGCTCTTACTTCCTGTTGTGTCTATAGGACAGGAAGTGAATGGACACAGATAGAAGACAGTTGTTATGACTGTTCCCTTTTCATAACCGAAACAATATAGGGTTTTAGATATACGATAGATATTATATATTGTCTGAAATGTTGTCACGTTGTGTCTTGGCAGCTGCATGCAGCGGTAAACTGGAACAGCACACTGAGAGGAGAGGGGTGATCTACAGTCCGGCGTGGCCACTCAACTACCCCTCAACCATGAACTGCAGTTGGTACATCCAGGGAGATCACGGGGACATCATTACAATAAGGTAATACACCGAACAGCCAATTAAAACGCAGCTTCGCTCATTGACGGAAAATGCCACTTCTAACCCAATTCTCCCCCGCCCTAAATCACTGTGGTCAGTGGTAAGGATTTGTTCCCTCCTCCCTCCTATAGGCCAGTCTGTCAAATTCGACTTGGTTTTCTGCCTTATAGATGACTTCAAATAATGGCATTAAAGTGTTCCTGAACCCCCAACAGTACAATCAGTCTGTAGATGCAGGAAAGCATGCTTGTTATACTCACTGTGGAACCTAAGCGGTTAGTCATCTGCACTGGGTAAAAAGGATGTTTGATCCTGTCTTCTCTGATCCTTCCCTTCTTCCAGTGTCCCCCTCTTATCTCCTGATAAGACATATCATGTGAAGTCACTCTGCACATGCTCAGTTTGGTGTGTATTGCTAGAGAGGTTTTATTTTCTTGGGAGAGTGCATGTGATCAGCAGAGGGCCAATCATCACTGTCCAGACAGAAGTCAGGGGTTCTGCATCTTCCTAGAGCAAAATTAAAACTCCTCCTACAAGCTTTAATCAGTGCTCTGCTGGACACTGATAGAAGTCACAAGACTGCTATATACTGCTAATGAGAAAAGGTATTTAGCAGTTGATATTTTCTAGAATAATTGCATTTCCATGTTCTGTGTACTGTGGGAGACCAGATATAGTGAATGCAGGGTCCAGGAAGACCAGATATAGTGAATGCAGTGTCCGGGAGACCCGATTTAGTGAATGCAGGGTCCGGGAGACCAGATATAGTGATTGCAGGGTCCGGGAGACCGGATATAGTGAATGCAGGGTCCGGGGAGACTGGATATAGTGAATGCAGGGTCCGGGGAGACTGGATATAGTGAATGCAGGATCCGGGGAGAGCGGATATAGTGAATTCGGGTCCGGGGAGACCAGATATAGTGAATGCAGGGTCCGGGGATAGCGGATATAGTGAATGCAGGGTCCGGGGAGACCGGATATAGGAATGCAGGGTCCGGGGATAGCGGATATAGTGAATGCGGGGTCCGGGGAGACCAGATACAGTGAATGCGGGGTCCGGGGAGACCAGATATAGTGAATGCAGGGTCCGGGGAGACCGGATATAGTGAATGCCGGGTCTGGGGAGACCAGATATAGTGAATGCAGGGTCCGGGGAGACTGGATATAGTGAATGCAGGGTCCAGGGAGACCAGATATAGTGAATGCAGGGTCCGGGGAGAGCGGATATAGTGAATGCAGGGTCCGAGGAGAGCGGATATAGTGAATGCGGGGTCCGGGGAGAGCAGATATAGTGAATGCAGGGTCCGGGGAGAGCAGATATAGTGAATGCAGGGTCCGGGGAGAGCAGATATAGTGAATGCAGGGTCCGGGGAGACCGGATATAGTGAATGCAGGGTCCGGGGGAGACCAGATATAGTGAATGCAGGGTCCGGGGAGAGTGGATATAGTGAATGCGGGGTCCGGGGAGAACGGATATAGTGAATGCGGGGTCTGGGGAGACCGGATATAGTGAATGCAGGGTCCGGGGAGAGCGGATATAGTGAATGCAGGGTCTGGGGAGACCAAATATAGTGAATGCGGGGTCTGGGGAGACCAGATATAGTGAATGCGGGGTCCGGGGAGACCAGATATAGTGAATGCAGGGTCCGGGGAGACCAGATATAGTGAATGCAGAGTCCGGGGAGAGCGGATATAGTGAATGCAGGGTCCGTGGAGACTGGATATAGTGAATGCAGGGTCCGGGGAGAGCGGATATAGTGAATGCAGGGTCTGGGGAGACCAGATATAGTGAATGCAGGGTCCGGGGAGAGCGGATATAGTGAATGACGAGTCCAGGGAGAGCAGATATAGTGAATGCAGGGTCCGGACAGACCAGATATAGTGAATGCAGGGTCCGGGGAGACCAGATATAGTGAATGCAGAGTCCGGGGAGAGCGGATATAGTGAATGCAGGGTCCGGGGAGACCGGATATAGTGAATGCAGAGTCCGGGGGAGACCAGATATAGTGAATGCAGAGTCCGGGGAGAGCGGATATAGTGAATGCAGGGTCCGGGGAGACCGGATATAGTGAATGCAGGGTCCGGGGAGACCAGATATAGTGAATGCAGGGTCCGGGGAGACTGGATATAGTGAATGCAGGGTCCGGGGAGACTGGATATAGTGAATGCAGGGTCCGGGGAGACTGGATATAGTGAATGCAGGGTCAGGGGGGAGACTGGATATAGTGAATGCAGGGTCCGGGGAGACCAGATATAATGAATGCAGGGTCCGGGGAGAGCGGATATAGTGAATGCAGGGTCTGGGGAGACCAGATATAGTGAATGCAGGGTCCGGGGAGAGCGGATATAGTGAATGACGGGTCCGGGGAGACCAGATATAGTGAATGCAGGGTCCAAGGAGAGCGGATATAGTGAATGCAGGGTCCAGGGAGAGCAGATATAGTGAATGCAGGGTCCGGGGAGAGCGGATATAGTGAATGCAGGGTCCGGGGAGACCAGATATAGTGAATGCAGGGTCCGGGGGGAGACCAGATATAGTGAATGCAGGGTCCGGGGAGACCAGATATAGTGAATGCAGGGTCCAGGGAGACCAGATATAGTGAATGCAGGGTCCGGGGAGACCAGATATAGTGAATGCAGGGTCCGGGGAGAGCGGATATAGTGAATGCGGGGTCCGGGGAGAGCGGATATAGTGAATGCAGGGTCCGGGGAGACCAGATATAGTGAATGCGGGGTCCGGGGAGAGCGGATATAGTGAATGCAGGGTCCGGGTGTGGTAGCAACTTTGGAAATACCAGATAAAACTCTGGACACAAACTTGAGCAAAAAAAAAACCTTTTATTTACCAGCTGGGCCTTAGCCAGGCAGTGTCTGTAAAGCTAAGTGCCTTCTAAAGCCTCTTACATGGTGTATATACCAACAATTACATCACAATACATATATTTCCTCCTTCACTTTCTGTACATTCAAAAGAATTTCTAAACTGTGCAGTATATGGCCTTGAGTACCAGCTACAGACTGGGACATTACTTCACAGGGATGCACTCGCTGACTCCAATGTTGGGTTTATTATTGCACCCACTAACACCACACTTGGGGTTTATTATTGAACTCACTGACACCGATGTTGGGGATTAATATTGCATCCACTGACACCGATGTTGGGGGCTATTACTGCATATGCTGACACCACATTAGGGGTTTATTATTGCACTCACTGACACCAATGTTGAGGGTTAATATTGCGTCCACTGATATCAATATGGGGTGTTATCTCACACTTACTGACACCAATGCTGGGGCGGTTTTAGTGCATCCACTGACACCAATGTTGAGGGATGTTATTGTGTCCACTGACACCAGTTTGTGGGGTTTTTGTACGCCAGCTTCTTCAGTGTGCATTGCAATATGCTGATGAAATGTAGCAGGACCCACATTTTCAGGCGTTGGGGTGCGGCAATGCTATAGTGCAGCCCTCTGGAGATGTCTGGGGCCACACTTGACACCCTCCATGATTTTTAAGGTGACTCCCACTGCCCTATAGTCATAGAATGGCTGGAATTCTGTGTTTTGGCCAGGAGGGTTCGAGGGGCAGCACTGCTCCGCTATATTTGAAACTTTCAGTTATTATTCTCTTTCTTTTCCTTTCTCTGGTGACCTCTGAACACTTGTCAGTAAGCTCAGCTACGGTGGAAAGGTAGTCTTCTGAGAGGAGTCCCAAGTCTCTCTGCAGCTCAGGTGACAGAAAACCGTCTTCTATTTATCTCACAAGGTGGAGTTGAACGGCAGACATCTAATTATGGCGCTGTGTGCTTTTACATATTAATTATTGTTATATATATCGTTTTTTTTTTTTTTACTCTGCAGCTTCAAGAACTTTGACCTTCAGGACTCTCACAAGTGCTCTGTGGACTGGCTCCTGATTGGCCCGTCTTCAAAGCGAGAAGAGTACAAAGTGTGCGGCTCCACCATGCCTCCGGCCTTCACCTCCTCCCGCGATCATGTCTGGATATTCTTCCACTCGGATGCCTCGAGTTCCGGGCAGTCTCAGGGGTTCCGGCTCTCCTACATCCGGGGTATGAGAACACGGTGCTGCAGCGTGAAAGCAGCCAATCAGATTGCAGTTTATTTTTTAGGTGCCTGTTAGTCACCTTTGCATTGGCTGGGCAACCTGCTGACCCCAGGAGTGAAGCTACATGGAGGAAGTTCCCGTGGTTGCATGTGGGATTATTACTACCAATTTAATTCTTACCAAGATGACAACTAAGTTACTCTTTATCTCAGTATTAACCTGTTCACGCCCGCCGAACGCAAATGTGCGTCCTCCTGGCACCTGGGCCTTGACGCCGAGCGACCGCACATTTGCATTCTATTAAAAAAGAACATATATGCTGAGTGCGCACCCTGCACGCTCCCAGCACACATGTCCGGTACTCACGGAAAGGTCCTGATCTCCTCTTTCGATCGGGACCTCTCCTGATCATGTGACCGCCGTGACGACGTGTCACGGCGGTCTCATGACCCTAATCCCCGCCCCGCCTCCAGGCTTCTGAAACCCTTAAAGGGCCGGGAAGCGCCGGTGTGAAGGGGTTAATATCCACTTGCCCTCTAGAGGATTCCCCTCCCCCTTCCTGACCATGCCGTTTTTTGTGATACGGCGCTGCTTTATTTTAACTGACAATTGCGCAGTCATGCAACGCTGCACCCAAATGAATTTTCTGTCTTTTTTTTTTCCCAACAAATAGAACTTTCTTTTGGTGGTATTTGATTGCCTGTGCGGTTTTTATTTTTTGCGCTGTGAACAAAAAAAGACCGACACTTTAAAAAAAAAAAAAACAAAACTATATTTTTTCCTTTTTGCTATTAAACATGTCCAGTAAAAAAAAATTTAAAAAATCACATTTCTCCATAAATTTAGGCCAAAATGTATTCTGCTTCGTGTCTTTGCTAAAAGAAAAATCCCAATACGTGTAAATTAATTGACTTACGTGAAAGTTATAGCGTTTACAAATGGCGGTATAGAGAATGGAATATATATATTTTTTTTTACTAGTAATGGTGGCGATCAGCAACTTATAGCAGGACTGCGGCGGGCATTCTGACACTGGGGGGGAACTGACTAACTGCCACTGATATCTCCAGTGACACCAATACAGCGATCAGTGCTAAAAAATAGCACTTACACTGTACTAAAGGCAGTGGGCAGGAAGGACTTAACATGAGGACCAATCAAAGGGTTACCTGTGTGCTGGGTGTGTTTTACTTTGGGGGCGGGGGTGTTTCATTGTAAGCACACTGCTTTGTATGCCATACAAAGCAGTGTGTAGGAGCTGAGCCTTGCACAGTTGTATCGTCTCCTCCCCTTCAGTCTTGCACAGGTGTATCAGCTCCTCCCCTTTAGTCTTGCACAGTTGTATCAGCTCCTCCCCTTCAGTCTTGCACAATTGTATCGGCTCCTCCCCTTCAGTCTTGCACAGGTGTAATGGCTCCCCTTCAGTCTTGCACAGTTGTATCGGCTCCTCCCCTTCAGTCTTGCACAGTTGTATCGGCTCCTCCCCTTCAGTCTTGCACAGTTGTATCAGCTCCTCCCCTTCAGTCTTGCACATTGTATCGGCTCCTCCCCTTCAGTCTTGCACAGTGTCCTGGCTCCTCCCCTTCAGTCTTGCACAGTTGTATCGGCTCCTCCCCTTCAGTCTTGCACAGTTGTATCGGCTCCTCCCTTCAGTCTGCACAGTTGTATCAGCTCCTCCCCTTCAGTCTTGCACAGGTGTACCGGCTCCTCCCCTTCAGTCTTGCACAGTTGTCCTGGCTCCTCCCCTTCAGTCTCGCACAGTTGTACCGGCTCCTCCCTTTCAGTCTCGCACAGTTGTACCGGCTCCTCCCCTTCAGTCTTGCACAGGTGTACCGGCTCTTCCCCTTCAGTCTTGCACAGGTGTACCGGCTCCTCCCTTCAGTCTCGCACAGGTGTACCGGATCCTCCTCTTCAGTCTTGCACAGGTGTAGCGGCTCCTCCCCTTCAGTCTTGCACAGGTGTACTGGCTCCTCTCCTTTCTGTCTCGCACAGGTGTAGCTGGCTCCTCCCTTTCAGTCTCGCACAGGTGTACTGGCTCCTCCCTTTCAGTCTCGCACAGGTGTACTGGCTCCTCCCTTTCAGTCTCGCACAGGTGTACCGGCTCCTCTACAGGACTGAAATGGCTTACTGTGATTTCACTGCACACTGTGAGCTTCTCATAATGTGCATTAGAAGCTGCAGCAAGTCAGATAGAGCTCCGCCTCATTTCCTGGCTGAGGAATGTCCAGCATCATCTAGCTCTTTCCTTCCTATCCTGACTGTCCCTGGCTCAGCACTTCCATTAATTGGATTTCAGTTCAACCACGGAGACTAATGCGGGCCATACATGGTTCGAATTCCGAACGATTTTTCTTCCAAAAATTGGAGGCGTTGTTCGCTCGCTCGGTAATCTGATGGCTCCATCATTGATTTAGAAAATCGGCCGACCGAGTCATAAAGTTCACCCCATATAACATGCGAAACTTCTGTTCCTTCCAGGTCACGGCTCATGCGCATATTCTTTTCGGAAAAAACGATCGTATGATTTGACCATGATGGAGTCGAAAATTAGTCGTTTTTCATGAATTTTCCAACATGTCCGATCACAAAAAAGAAAAACCACGAAAATCGGCCAGTGCCATTGACCCACTAACAGAGCGAAAATCGGCTGATTATTCTTAGGTCCGATTTTCAGATGAAAAATTGGTCGATTTTCGATCCATTGATGGCCAGCCTTACCATCACATGTGGGTGTTACCTAGGCCTAGCCTTCCTATGTACATCCACTCCTCCAGACTGACACATCAAGGCATTTTGCTGTTTATATAATTCCTCCCATGAGCCCACCCATGTGCTTGCATCGTGGCGGAGATCTCCTGAGAGGCGTACTGAGACAGGGTGCTGTGATGTTTTCAGGAACCTAAGTACAGCACCCTGCTAACTCCTCCTACCAGCCACGATCTGCCTTGATTGCATAGAAAAGCACATAGATCCAGTGATGATGTCACTAGGTCTAATATGTGGTATGTAATAAAAACCAAAAAGTTTTTTATTTAAAAATATCATTGATATGTTGATGAGGGGGGAGTGGAATTAGGGAAGGCAAAATTTAAAGAGATCAAACATCAGTTTGAAAAAATCTGTGTATGAATTGCCATGATGAAAAAACTAAAAATATTAATTTGAGGTCAATAATAGTTACATAGTAATGCAGGACATAGACGGGTCGAAAACCAACCTTTTTTTTTTAAAAAGAAAAATCGGTCGTTCAATCGGCCAACGTTACCACCAATGGTAAAAAAATTGGCCAATTTTTGTCCCATCTACGGCCGGCATTTTTACTTCTCTCCCTGCAGAGAGCTCCGCTATTATATTTGACATGAAAAAGTCTTGTGGTTGCAACAATGTATCCATTTGTATCCAATTCGGATACAGATGGGTTTATTCGGATACAAATGGATACATTGTTGCAACTGCAAGACTTTTTCATATAAAATATAATAGCGGACTGGAATACTTCTCCTTCTACTTTTTTTCTTCTTCTTCTTTTTCTTCTTATTCGTCTTCTGCTTCTTTTTTTCCTTTTTTCTTTTTTTTTTTTTTTTCCTTTTTCTTCTTTTTTTCCTTTTTTTCTTCTTTTTTCTTCTTTTCTTCTTCTTTTTCTTCTTCTGCTTCCTCTTCTTTTTCTTCTTCTTTTTTTTTTTTTTCTTCTTCTTCTTCCTCTTCTTTTTCTTATTCTTTATATTCTTCTTTTTCTTATTTTTATATTCTTCTTTTTCTTATTCTTTTTCTTATTCTTATTCTTCTTTTTCTTTTTTTCTTCTTCTACTTCCTCTGCTTTTTCTTCTCTCTTCTTCTTCCTCTTCTTCTTCTTCTTCTTCCTCTACTTCTTCTTCTTCTTTTTCTCCTTCTTACAGGTCACGGCTCATGCGCAGATTTTTTATCGGTAAAACGATCGCCCGATTTGCCCATTATTGCCGGGAAAATCGGCCGATCGTTAAAATCGGCAGCAAATTTTTCAACTTGACCGATAAAGAAAATGTGCCAAAACCAAAAAAAAAACGGCCGACCAATTATGGTGCGAAAATCAGCCGATTTTTTTTTTTTTTCCGATTTTCGACCCGTCTATGGCCTGCTTTAATCCAGAGGAAGGCAAAAAAAAAGATACAATAACATCTATAATGTGTACCGACTGAAAATATTCTGGCGCATCTCCTTTTTTTTTTTTTTATGTTGTCTTCACGGTTCTTCTAATTTACTCTTTATATTCCGTAAGAGGCGTCCTTGTGAACAGAACACAGATCCTCGCTCCGCTGCACTCACGGCCTTCGCTGGGACTGTGTTCCTTTCTCCTCTTTCCCGTTAATGTCCATTTAACCTTCAGATGGTGTTGAAGCTGGAAGTGAATATCTGAGCGGAATATCTAAAGTGCAATCTGATAGAACACAGAGTACACCCAGCAATTACCGGAGCTCCGGATCAGCTAATGACATCTTAGCACATCGAGCTTCAACCGCCCCCCCCCCCTCCCCTCCCCCGTCCTGTGTGCATCATGCACTATTTATCTTCTGTTTGCTGAAAACATTTAAAGCTGAAGTTTATTCTTCTTATAATTTGCCTTCCCTGGATTCTCCCTCCCTCTTCATCAGAAGGCTCCTTATGTGGGTGCGGGAATCGCATCTGTTCCTGCAACCACCCGTAGCCAAATCGCACCGAGGGGCTGAATGGCATCCCCACGCATCTCAGCCCGCAGCGCAATTGTGGGCCTGGGAGACGCAGGGAAAACATATGGTCAAAAAGACCATGCAGTTTCCCTGCACCCACGTTTTCAAAAGAGTGCATGCACCTTTTTTTTGTGCAGAAACGTGGCCAGAGAAGCCCATTTAAATGAATGGGCTGCCGTGCCCGAGCAAACATGGGCTTCACTGCCTGCAATAGTGTGAACTGAGCCTACAACCTGAAGACAGACAAGTTTTTGTTTTATCCAGCTGTATTTATTCAGTGCAACTTATAACATCCGAGTGAAAGAGATAACACCAACATGTCAGAAAAAAATTTAAAAAACAGAATAACTGAGTTGCCTTTTTACTACCTGCCTGGAGTTTGCTTGTTATCCCTGTGCCTGTGTTAATTTACAATATACATTGGGTATATAAAAGAATCAGCCCCCTTTAAATTAATCCCATTTTGTTGCTTTGCAACCGGAAATGAAGGCACACAGTTTTTGTTTTATCCAGCTGTATTTACTCTTATAACATCAAAGTGAAAGATATAACACCAACATGTCAGGAAAAGAAAATTCAAAAACAGAAACACCGAGTTGAAAAAAAGGATAAACCCCCTCCTAAAAATGACTTGTAAACTCAATCAAGTGTAGCTAATAACCTTCTCAATGACACACAAAGCCATTTATATTTCAGCTGTGATCATGTTGATTAGCTCAGCATGACAAGAGCTTTCCTGGAGCATTCAGTCCCTGGTAGTGCGACTGAAGCAAAGAGTCAACTAAGGGTGGCAAGGCACTGTCAAAAGATGTCCAGGATAAAGTTGTGGACAGACACAAGCAGGGGTGGACCGACAACTCATGGGGCCCCCGGGCAATAGGGGATCATGGGGCCCCTGTGACCTCGCACACACTCAAGCCACACCCAAAAAAGCCTATGAAAGGTACCAGGGTCATCCACTGGGGCCCCCTACTGACCCCAGGGCCCTCGGGCAGTGCCCAAGTACTTGAATGGTCAGTCCGCCCCTGGGCACAAGTCAGGAGATGGATACAAAAAATCAATGGCTTTATCAATGCCTAGAAGCACAGTGAAGTCCATTAAGAAGTGGAAGGTATTTGGTACAACACAGACCCTCCCTGGATCAGGACGTCCCTCCAAACTGGATGAAAGAAGGAGGAAATTGGTCAGAGAGGCTACCAAGAGGCCTACAGCAACTATGAAGCCGTGTCAGGAATTGAGTGGTCGTTGTGTGCATGTGACAACAATATCACAAGTTCTCCACAAATGTGGCCTGTACGGGAAGGTGGCAAGAAGAAAGCCGCTCCTCAAGAAAGGCCACATGCAGTCACCACTGAGCTTTGCCAAAACGCACCATGAAGATTCTGAGGCCACTTAGAGAAAGGTGTTCTGGTTAGATGAGACTAAAAAATGGATGATTTGGCCTCAACAGTAAACGATATCCAATCCAGCTCCCCATCCAAATCCCACCATTCCTACAGGAGGGGGAATATGCTGTTATGGGGGTTTCTCTGCAGCAGGGACTGGAGCACTTGTCAGGATAGAAGGAAACATGAATGGGGCAAAATACCTTCAAATTCTTGAAGAAAATCTGCTGCCCTCTGCCAGAAAGTTGTCAATGGGAAGAAGGTTTACCTTCCAACATGACAATGACCCAAACCACCAGCAAAAATGAACACACAGTGGTTGAAGTCCTTGCATGGCCTAGTCAGAGCCCAGACTTAAACCCATTGAAAATCTGTGGAATGACCTGAAGACTGCAGATCACAAATGGTCACCATCAAATGTAACTGAACTTGAGTAGTTCTGCAAAGAAGAGCGGGCAAATATTGCAAAGTCTGGATGTGCAAAGTTAGTAGAGACATCCCAACAGACTATAAAGGCTGGAATTAAAGCAAAAGGGGGTTCAACAAAATTCTGACACAAGGGGTGATCCTTTTTCCAACTCAGTGATTCTGTTTTTGAATTGTTTTATTTTTTTCTGACATGTTCTATCTTTCACTTGGATGTCAATACAGCTCCCACTCTAACCGCACATGCATGGTTCCGGGAACGTGCAGCACAGCGATCAGTGGTGTACTGCGTCCCTTGGACACAGCAAATCACTGATCAACGGAAAGAGTCGAAGATGTCGGCTCGGACATGTGATCAGCTGTGTAATTGGCATTCCTCAGAGGGGACATGTACACTGATCATCAGGGCACTGATAATCAGTGTGCCCTGATGATCAGTGTAGCCCCAGCAGTGCTGCCTCTCAGTGCCCATCAATGCCAGCTGTCAGTGCTCATCAGTGCCACCTGCCAGTGCCCAGCAGTGCCACATCAATGTCACATATCAGTGCCTACCAGTGCACATCAATGCCACATATCAGTGCCCATCTGTGCTGCCTTTCAGTGCCACCTATCAGTGCCAGTCAGTGCCACCTATCAGTAGTGCCAGTCAGTGCCACCTATCAGTAGTGCCAGTCAGTGCCGCCTATCAGTGCTGCATATCAGTGGCCGTCAGTGCCGCCTAACAGTGCCAGTCAGTGCCACCTATCAGTGCCATATGTGAGTGCTGCCTTTCAGTGCCCATCAATGATGCTTGTCAATGCCCATCAGTGCCACCTACCAGTGCCTCCTCCTCAGTGCCCATCAGTGCCACCTATCAGTGCCCATCATTGCAGCCTTATTAACGCACATCAGTGAAGGAGAAAAATCACTTATTTACAAAATTTTAAAACAAAACCTAAGAAATACATTTAAAATTTTTTTTTTTCAGTTTTTGGTTTGTTTAGCAAAAAATAAAAAACCCCGAGGTGAATAAATACCAACAAAAGAAAGCTCTATCTGTTTTAAAAAAATGGTACAAATTTCATATGGATACAATGTTGCATGACAGCACAATTGTCATTCAAAGTGCAATAGTGCTGAAAGCTGGAAATTGGCCTGGGCAGGAAGGGGGTATAAGTGCCCTGTAGGCTAGTAAAGGGGGGGGGTGATTCTTTTCTATACCCACTCTACCTTATTTTAGACCCCGTGACATCACTGGGTCTCTGTGCTTCTATATCAAATGCAGGCCGGTGGGAGTGGCAGGCAAGCTTCTTGAAACATCACAGCCCCCTGCCTCAGTACTCCTTTCAAGAGCTTTCTGTCCTAATGCAAGCAGTGGGCTGGCTCATGAGAGGAGTTATTCAATTGTAAATTGAATAACTCCTGGATGTCAGTCACCAGAACAGGAACAAAGGTGTAAACGTAAACGATGACTTCCAAATCTTCCAATGACTTGTGTTGATGACTGCTGTTGGATTTCCCTCACTTTGGAGAGCGATTTCTTCTCACGTCCTGCTATTTCTAGCACAGGAAATAAAAAGAAATCTACCCCTTCCCAGGGCCACGGATAGGTGGGTATAGGCAGGGGTGTATTTACCACAAGGCAAACAAGGCATTTGCCTAGGGTGGCATTTTTCAGGGGGGGGCAGCACAGTCCCACGGAAGAAGGGACACATGCTGCATGGGGACCTGGTGGGTTCCGAGAGATGCTGTAGGTTTCATGATGGTGTATGCACAGCCTGACTCCCGTTCCTGGGGATGTCCGGAGCTGTGAAATTGAGTGTCTCTCTCTCTCGCCATGGGGGATGGTGGCTGGTGCATGGGGGGCAGTAGTAGTAGAAGGCTCAGGTGGAGGGCAGGGGTTTTCTTGGTCAATGTCAGGTTCTTTCTGCGAGGGGGGGCGCCAATTTTTGTGTTGCCTAGGGCAGCACAAAACCTAAATACACCACTGGGTATAGGCTGTACTCCTCTACCAGGCCTGGTCCCCATTGGGTCAGCAAGTGGTCTGGGTGGCCTGGTAAGGGTTGCCTATGGGTGGCTCCAGTGCAGCGTCATTCCAGCAGAGTGCACTGCATCTGTCCGTGATTGACTTGCAATGGAGTGCCATTGGAGGTAGGCCCTTCCCCAGGCAATCCAAAAGGAAAAAAAAATGCTTTACATACACATTACTTTCTTTTAATATAGTATAGTAATTTTTTTGCTTTATTTATTTTATTATTTTATTTCAGGTACTTATATAGCGCCATCAATTTATGCAGCACTTTACATATATATTGTACATTCACATCAGTCCCTAACCCTCAAGGGGCGTACAATCTAAGGTCCCTAACTCACATTCATACATATACATACTAGTCAGGAGACAATTAACCTACCAGCATGTCTTTGGAGTGTGGGAGGAAACCAGAGGACCTGGAGGAAACCCACACAGGCACAGGGAGAACATGCAAACTCCAGGCAGGTGGTGCCGTGGTTGGGATTCGAACCAATGACCTGAGTACTGCCAGGTGGAAGTGCTAACCATTTAGCCACTGTGCTGCCCCTTATAATTCTCCTTCTATCACCTCAATGCTTAGGAGGAGCAGGGTGGATGACATTGTTTTTAAAGGAGGGTTTCCTATGGAAAAAAGTTTAGTTTGAAAGAAAACAATAGAAAGAATCTGGCAGTGGTGCAGCTTCTTGGGACAAGGATGGGTCCCTAGTAGCCTCGGCTCCTGCCGCTAGCAGTGGGGTTTTTGTTCACCTAGAACAGTGATTCTCAACCTTCCTAATGCCGTGACCCTTTAATACAGTTCCTCATGTTGTGGTGACCCCCAACCATAAAATTATTTACCCAGTAATTATAATTCATTAAGTGTCGTTTTATCTCCAATACTGCTGCTTTCAACACAGCAGCTGCTTTCTACACAGTAGCTGCTCTTTACACATCGGAAATATGTGTTTTCCGATGGTCTTAGGGGACCCCTGTGAAAGGGTCGTTCGACCCCCAAGGTTGAGAACCACTGGCCTAGAACGATGCCTCTTACTGTTGCATCAGAAAATGTTTAGGGTGAATTTATATTTTTCTGGAAATAGTAATTAATATTTTTTCTGTCCCAAACAGGTAAAATGGGGCTGACTTCCTGTCCATTGGATGAATTTCTCTGCGGAAACGGCAAATGTATTCCAAGCACCTGGAAGTGTAACGCCGTGGATGAATGCGGGGATAACTCAGACGAACGCAACTGCACACCACCATCTACAGAGATTCGCACGAGCCTTTGCCCCCTGGGGACATTCCCTTGTAACATGGCCCACTCCACGCAGTGCATGCCCAACGAGCTGCGCTGCAACTCCGTGAAGGACTGCATCAGCGGCGCTGATGAGGAAAACTGCCCGGAGTTGTCGTGCGGTGGAAAGCTCAGCAATTTTTACGGCTCCTTCGCCTCACCGGACTTCTTCCGGGTAGATCGCGGCCACTCTGAGCTGCAGTGCACGTGGTTCGTGGACACAGAGGATAACCGGCACGTCATCCTGCAAATCGACCTGCAGCTGGGGTACAGCGACTTCGTCAGGGTGTACGAAGGCATCGGTGAGAGGAGCGATAAACTCCTCCAAACCCTTTCTTTCCGAAACAACCGTCACACGGTCAGCGCCGAGTCCCCCAACGGTCAGCTCACGTTGACATACCACGCACGCTCGAAGAGCATGGGTCACGGGTTCAATGCCACTTACCAAGTGAAGGGTTACTGCCTCCCCTGGGAGCATCCGTGCGGAACGGACGACATCTGCTACTCAGACAGCCAGAACTGTGATGGGTGGTGGCACTGCCCGAACGGCAAAGACGAGGAGAACTGCCCGGCCTGCCAAAACAATGAGTACCCTGCGAGGGGGGGGAGTGGATTGTGCTACTCCTACCTAGACCGCTGCAACAACCAAAAAAAAACTGTCCGGATGGCTCGGATGAGAAAAACTGTTTCACATGCCAGCCTGGCAACTTCCACTGTGGCACCAACCTATGCATCTTCGAGACTTGGCGCTGCGATGGGCAAGAAGATTGCCAGGACGGGAGTGATGAACAGAACTGCCTGGTTATTGTACCGCGAAAAGTCATCACGGCAGCGCTGATCGGCAGCCTGGTGTGTGGACTGCTGCTGGTGGTCGCCTTGGGTTGTGCGTTCAAGCTCTACTCACTAAGAAGCAGGGAATACAGGTGAGCCAGCGTGTACCTCACTTACCTGGTGGTTCCTAAAGTTTGTGAACACCTGCCATCACACCTATATGGGCTTGCTGGCAGGGGCGGACTGACAACTCATGGGGCCCCCGGGCAATAGGGGATCATGGGGCCCGTGTCCTTGCCCAAACTCAAAAAAGCCTATGAAAAAGGTACCAGGGGCATATCATGGGGCCCCCTACTGACCCCGGGCCCTCAGGCAGTGCCCGAGTTTCGAAATGGTCAGTCCGCCCCTGCTTGCTGGACATTCCATAACTTTGGCCATTAATATGTCATGGTCCGCTCCCTTCTCCCATGGCCATTAATGTGGAATTGATCTCCTTTGTGGCTATTACAGCCTTCGGTTTTCCACAAGCTTTAAAGGAGTGCCCGTAGGAATAGGAATAAGAGCCCATTTGTGAGGTCAGGTACCGGTGTTGAATAAAAAGACCTGGATCACAGTCGGTGTTTCAGTTCTTAACAAACGGGTTCAGTGGTTGAAGTCCCTGTGCATGCCCATAGTGCTCTGGAAATCCTTTGTTGTTGGTGCACCCTTTATGAAAGTATATTTAAATCAGAAACCATTTTTTTTTTAGTTTTGGATGGAGTGGAGAATGGTTATAACCCCTGTCAGGTTTTTATTTCTTGTAAAACGTCCAAAGAGTCCAAAATCTTTTAATTTTAGGGGTGCATTTTTTTTTTACCCACTTGCCCTCCACCCGATAGTAGAAGTACTGCTATAGGGCAGCATTGATGCATAAAATCATGTATATATACGTGATTTGCATTTCCGGGTAAGGGGGGCGCGCGCGCCGCTATTGGCTGCTAGGGATGTCAATCACCGGGTCCCGGCTGGCGATTCCCAGCCGTGACTCGGTGATCGTCGGCAGGGCTGAGAGGGGAGAGATCTGTGTAAACAACACAGATCTTTCTCCTGTCAGCGTGGACATGCTGCTTTGTATCTCTCTGCACCTACAGAACAAAAAGTGAGAAGAAATCTTCCAGTGGGATGCCTGTTCTAGTGACAGCCGTCTAGGAGGCAATTTGGAGATATTTCCTTAACTTCCTGTTGTATCTGCTGGACAGATGTAGGGATATTGTATTATATATATATATATACTGTATGTGGTGTATTCTCACGTTAATCACCAGGCCAGAATGGGAGCTAGATTTATTTTATTTTATGTACTTATATAGCACCATCAATTTACGCAGCGCTTTACATATGTATTGTACATTCACATCAGTCCCTAACCCTCAAGGGGCGTACAATCTAAGGTCCCTAACTCACATCCATACATACACATACTAGGGACAATTTAGACAGGAATCAATTAACCACCAGCATGTCTTTGGAGTGTGGGAGGAAACCCACGCAGGCACAGGGAGAACATGCAAACTCCAGCCAGGTGGTGCCGTGGTTGGGATTTGAACCAACGACCCAAGTACTGTTAGGCAGAAGTGCTAACCATTTAGCCACTGTGCTGCCCATGTATTTTACACAACAAAAGCATAGCCAAGGACTCTTTGCTATGTTCATTTTCTGCAAGGTCACCTCGGTATTTGGGGAATAGCCTGTTTATCTAATTAGACATTTCAAAGGGTATTCGTGGGAAATGGTGAAAGGGTGACTTGTCTACCTGATAAACACTATAGTGACCTTAATTGTTATTTACAGTAATGACAAGTGAAGTCTTTTCATGGAAGATCATTGCATTTTGTCAGCCAATCAGAAACCCCTCCAGTAAACTGTATATCAAGTGAAGTTTTTTGGCTGGGAGAGAGCTTCCTTTAATATGGAAGCACAGGTATAGATCATAACTCATTATTGCACGCATGGAAGGAACCTCGGTGCATATTATAGATCAGACCTATGCTGGACGGTGTATTATCTCCATGTTTGATATGGAGTATCTTAAATGGGACTCTGAGGGCTGTTGTTCGTTGTAATATTTACAAGTATTCAGCTGGATTTCTGTTATCTGTTATCTGTAACAAATATCTTTATCCGAATAAATGCATCTCTCTGGAAAAGAACTGTTGGACTATTTGCTGCGGGAAAGTACATTTATAAATATACGCTGGTCATCCATCCTCCTCTCATGAGATAAGACAACAGATTGGTGCCGTGACTCGGATACAGAGATAAGACAACAACTGAAAATCTCAACAGGGACACAGACAGCTCTTGACAGGGATTCTAACTAATCTTCACTCTATCCAAATTTTGTGAGATACAGTTCTATAAAAAATAAAAAACAGATATAAAACATCTGCTATAAAACATAATGAAAAAAATAGATATTAATATTGTTAGATAATCACGAAATGTTTACATTTAAATTGATTATCAGACTGCTGTAACCAGTTCTATGTGATTGCTGGTATCCTGTAATAATATGTTCAGTGTGTTCTCTGTTTCCGGTCTGAAGGATCAGGGGATTATGGGGTAATTATTCCTCACCCCGTGACATCACTGCCCTGATATGGAACTACTATAGGGTATGCCACGTTTGTTGGTACCTTTATTACATATTTGTTTTGTTGGGATATCCAGGTATTGGTGTGTTCCAGATATCATTGGACGATGTTGGTGTGAGGGGTGTATCCTGGGCCATGGTCAGGGTGGCTCTTAAGTGAAAATGTTTGTGCTGTGTCAGAATAGAGACTGTTTTCCCTCCATACATAACTAACCAACTATTATCCTCATTAGGGCCTTCGAAACGCAAATGACTCGCTTGGAGGCGGAGTTTGTAAGACGTGAGGCTCCTCCTTCTTACGGGCAGCTTATTGCTCAAGGGCTTATCCCACCTGTTGAGGACTTTCCAGCTTTCAGTGACTCTCAAGTATGTACACTTTATCTATCTATCTATCTATCTATCTATCTATCTATCTATCTATCTCTATCTATCTGTCTGTCTGTCTGTCTGTCTGTCTGTCTGTCTGTCTGTCTGTCTGTCTGTCTGTCTGTCTGTCTGTCTGATCTATTTATACTATCACTTTTAACACTGGATTAAGGTTATTATAAAGCCTAAATATTTGTATGCATGCTTTCTTTTTTTTGTTTTTTTCCCTTGGTTTACCTTAAAGTGGTAGTAAACTGCAGCAACAACAAAAAAAAAAAATCTTGCCTTAGGCAGTTTAAGTCATCATATGCTAGTATGCACTGCCTATGACAGACTTACCTGAAAACGAAACCCTCCAGCGGCGGGCTGTCACCACTGTAGGGCTTCAATCTTCAACCAGTTTTCCTTCCAGGTTTGCAGGCTTCGGCAATAGGAATGGCCGAGCCGTGATGACGTCACTCCCACGGGCATGCACACTGTTGGCAGCACAGGGCTCTAAAGGAACGGCATGGGCGTGCTGTTTCTTCAGAGTGCTAGGGGCATCTCATGGGGCCCCCTACTGACCCCATGCAGTGCCCGAGTTTCCAAATAGTCAGACCGCCCCTGACTGTACCTATAGGTAAGACTTATTATAGACCTGCCTATAGTTAAAAATCAGCCAAGGGAGTTTACTCCCACTTTAATATTTTTTTTTTAGTAGTATCCCCCCCAATACTTACTTGAGCCCTCATTCCTATCAGCGCTGTGCCCATCTGCAGCGGCTCCCTACCAGATCTCGGAGGCTTTGCAGAGGCAGCGGGAGCCATTGACTCCTGCTGCTGTCAGTCAAAGCCAGTGTCAAGGGTGTCTGTGTCTATAGTCACGGCTCGGGCAGCGGACCCGCACAAGTGCCCCCATAGGAAGGGCCTATTTCCTGGAGAGGAGGAGCCAGAAGGGCAGGCATGGGACCCAAGAAGAGGGGTTTCCATTGTAGAGCAGGTAAGTATAAAGCTGTTTTATATAATTTTTTTTTGCGTTTGCAAACACTAGGAGGTAAAGGAAAAGGCAGAAACTCCTTATTCCTCCAAACCTCCGGCACTCTAACCTTCACTTCAATGCTTCGGGCTATGGGCTGGCCCTTGCTGTCCTCATGTTCAATGTAGGAGTGTTGGTCCAGCAATGTATATGATGATACCAACGCTTCAGGGAACCAGACGCACAGTGGAGGCCTGCCAGAGTGATTCAGAAGGTAATACAGTTTATTCTCCCCCCCCCCCCAGACTTAACCCGCATGTAACCCTTGCAATGCCATGGGTAAAACAGGTAATTTTTTAATGCTGCCCCCCTGAGTGAGCCTTTATGACCTTGTCATTTTTTTTTCTTTTGTTTGCTGTCTGTGTCCTGCTAATGAGATTCCCGTTCACTTCCTGTTCTGGAGACAGAACAAGATGTGGACAGAGAGGAAATCAATCTAAAGTGGATACAATTCTCACCATAAAGAGTTATCTTAGGAACAGGTGTTCCCACTGGGGGATAAAAAGAGAAGGTTATCTCCCCAGCAGGGATATAGACAAATATTAAAATCTGACAGAGGATCAAACCCTTCCCTAGAGGATCCAACCTTTTCCCACTATATCCAAAACTAAAAACAGATAGACTTACAGTTAGGTCCATATATATTTGGACACAGGCACAATTTTAGTTTTTTCAGGTATTTACCAAAACATATTGAAGCTATAATCATATAATGGATATGGGTGGACAGTGCGCACTCTCAGGTTTAATTTGAGGGTATGTACATCCAAATTTGGAGGAAGGGTTTAGGAATTACAGCTCTTAAGAGTAGCCATCCTTTTTCAAGGGACCAAAAGTAATTGGACAACTGAATCAGAAGCTGTTTCATGGCCAGTTGTGGGCTACTCCTTCGTTATTTCTTCATCAATTAAACAGGTAAATGGTCTGGAGTTGATTCTAAGTGTGGTATTTGCATTTGGAATCTATTGCTGTGAACCTACATAATGCGTTCAAAGGATCTGTCCATGCAAGTGAAACAGGTCATTGTAAGGCTTCAAAGACTAAACAAATCCATC